TGGAATAATTTTGTTCCATTCAGAGTACAAGATAAGCCTTTAAAATGGCCTAAAGTTCTTGGAATCTGATTTTGTTTTCCTCACCCTATTATCAATTTGACATCATATTCTAAAAGTCTCTCTGTTGCTTACCTGCTTTTACCACAATGACTTCCTTGATGTTTTCAGAAAAAAATGTCAAACATCTATCTCCCTTAATGTAGCATTGAGCCAATTATTCTGTGTGGGATATTTTTCTCCCTATATTTACACATCATCATCTCCGTCAAGATGGCTTCCTCAAAGAGATAACACTTGATCATACTGTTGTTTCTCATCCAGATCTTGTGATACCCAGCTCCTCCTAACTGGCTCTATTTTGTCTTTTATTTATACAGGCTATCACATTATATATGCAGGCTTTCACATCATTCACACACACATATATAAATTCTTTCTCACACACATTATATATGTAACATAACAATATCACATTCAAGTACACCATATGACATTTTAGGTCTAATCTTCAAATTACTGTCCATCTCATGTGAGACATTTGCATACCCTACCAACCATACTTAAGCAGGCATTACTTCTGCTAGACCCTGTATAATACATATATAATATAGAAGATAAATATACTTAGGATTGTCAGGAACATATATAAAGGACAAAGCCAAAGGGGGGTAGGATCAAAGGTGGAAGGTGGGGATGCCTGGGTGGCAGGGAATGGAGCGGGGGAAATGGAGACAACTGTACTTGAAAAACAAAAAATAAAAAAATAAAAATAAAAGTATACTTAGGACATACATTTAAAATATATATTTTATAGATATATACACCTACATATATACTCTATATGTATACTAGAACTATACTATGTATACTTTATTATATATAACAGGTAATAGAGAAATATGGGTTTATTTCGCTTAGTGTTTGCTAGAAATTCAGCTGTAGGAGGACAGGAAGCATGTGTTTTGTTGAGTAGTGTAGCACTTGCACCATAAACAGAGACCAGAGCATGGTGCATCCTCCATAAAATGTCTTGCTAACTGAAACATGGTTATTAAGAAAGAACATATGTTATGCTAATCTGTCAAGTAGTTTGAGTAATATCTTAATTATTGACATTATATAACATCTCAAAATATTGCGGATGGGTGTTCATAAAAGTGACAACTTGTCATACTAAACTACATGCTGCAAGTATAAATAGATTTGGGAGGCAATAGAAATATCTTTTTTCAACTTCCTATGTGCAAGTGACTGACAATAGTATAAAGAATTGAGAAAAACTACGTTGGTGGATAGGCAAGTCACTTGTCATATGAGCAGAATTAGATACATATGCCCTACCCACAGGCTGAAGATGAAACATGTCCATTTAGAGATCAAATAAATATTAACTGATATTTTATCTTAATTATTTAATACTTGTTTTTGAAATTTTATCTAGTCAGTCCTCATGGAACTTATTTTGGTATAAGGTAGAGAGAAAGAATTCTCAAAATAATGGAATGCATCAATAAAACTTATTAAATATTAAAATCTTTCTCTATCAATTCAAATCTCTCCTTTATGTTTTATATCTATCATGTTTATCTTGATTTTCTATTCAATTTCCTTTTATATCCATCTTTGTAACAATATCACACTATTTTGTTATAATTTATTTTAATGCATTGCATAAAAATACAAGCTCCCTTACTGCCACACCTATTCAATATTTCCCTGGATATTCTCTTCCACTTTAAAATGACAGGATCAAATTCTAATTATTCCATTTTAACTGGTTTGAAATTGCTGTATACTTTGCAAATATAGTGTTTATGTAGCATTAAGGGGAAAAGTCTCATGTCTCAAATAAGGACATCATATTGCTATTTATCTACTTTTATGGTTATTCAATAAACTTTACCTTGCAAACTTTGCTCTATATCCTTTTAAGGAGCAGTAGTATTTTTCTGTTAATTAATTAATGCACCTTATCATTAGATTTTTAAATGTAGGTATGAATTATATACACATGTGTACATGAAGCATTTTGAATTCTTTGAGTTTAATGAAACTACCTCTTCTGTTTCAACTTTAAAAATAACATTGAATATTGTGTCTTTATATTTTGTTATGGTTAGAAAAAATAATACATAGAAAAAAGGAAGATAATGTAAATCCTTATGGTAAAAATAAAATAAAAATACTCAGTAAACTATAACTTGTCAATTTTTTTTACTGAATGATATGGTAAATTATATCATTAAATGTCTTAATTTATATATCTACTCATCTTTTTATTCCTGGATAAAATATCCCCTTGTCATTTACTATAGTTTTATTAATATTATATGACATCATATTTTAATTTATCATTTTATGACTATGAATTGGAAAATGAAACTCAAAACTTTTTATTTTGTAAAATTTTTGTTATCCATTGCTATTAGAGAATATTTGGATCAGGAACTCTGGTTGCTGTCTGTGATAGCCTTCCCAAATGATTAGTAGAAAAAAAGAAAGTCATATCACTGTGAAAAGACAATGTTTTTTTTTCTCTTAAACTTCATTTTCCTCATGAGTTAAACAAAACCACAAAAGCTGCTTTAGTTTAGAGGATGTCTGAGAAAAACTATTTTGATCCAATTGAATAAAACTAATTATACTACATAACCAGCAATTCTACAGTTCAAAAATCATGAGAAACATTGATACCTCCATGAAGCCTCACTTTGCTTATTACAAAAGGTTGCTTTGAGGGTCATATTTTTCTCAGCAACCCACTGCAATCCAAGAAATCCACCAGAGTAAGGGAACCCAGAATTACAGGCTTTCTAACTTATTTACATTTTTAGTATGGAGGTAGGATGTAAGGAGGAAATAATAGTACCCAATGATCCACTTCAAAAACATACTAGGAACTCCCCTTTATCAATTACACACTTATTCTATATTTTGGCAGTGTCATGGAACCTTATCAAGATTTTAGCACTATAGTCCATTCTACTGTGGCCTACCCCACCTTTCCTTTACATGAAGAGACTAGATCAGATGTGTTTTTAAAGATTGTTTCCAGCTACTGAATGGGTTTGGTCAACCAGAAATGCCAGGAGGATACTAGAAGACAAGAGAGAAGTGAGGTTGGGTGTATGTTTCCTGGTCTCCTCCTGGTTGTTTGGCTTTGGATTGCCTGTATCCTCTTCCTAAGGGCCATGGCTTCTGTAAACTGGCAGCTTTTCTCTTTAGATCCTGGGGTTTGAAAACTGCTCTTTACTTTGTCCCTCTTGGTGTAGGGGTAGTAATGACATTCTGCTGCTACTAGTTCCTTTAGAATCATAATATCTCTCACCATTTTCCTTAAATTTTATCAATATCTTTGTAAATAATTTCTCTATTCAACTCTTCCCAAATATTCCATTGGAGTGTGCTATCTATTCCCTGCCTTGGCCCTGACAAACACAGTGGGTGGACATATTGGAAAATGCCAACATGTACCTTGTAAATAATTCATTATCAGAACTGAAATAATTAGCAAAGCAATTAAAACTAGGAGGAGACAGAGAATTGGAGGAGGTCAAAAATCATCAAAGAGTGTTTGCTGTGGTAGTGAGGAGATGAAAAAATGGAATGTGACAACATTTTTTTTCATAAAGAGCAAGCCTAGGATTTGATTTCCTACAAATGTAGATTTCCTGATTATTTCTAAGGGACTAACTGTGTGAGCATAGAAGGTGTACTCAGTTGCATTTACTAAGAAACTTACACGTGACAAGTGATGTATTAGGCATTGCTGATAAGTCATACTAGTTATACAAAAAGCTTTGACTTGTAAAAGTATAAGAATATTTCATTTAAATTTATAATTTGGTCATGGGCCAGGTCCCTGGTTGGGGGCAGGTCCCCGAGAGAAACAACCCAATTAATGTTTCTCTCACACATTAATGTTTCTCACTCTCTCTCCTTCCCTGCCAACTCTCTCTAAAAAAATAAATAAAACCTTTTAAAAATTATTGTTTAACTTAATGTAGTTTTTAGAAACTTTGTAAAGAAAATCATATTCTACTGAATATACTAAATATGATGATTTGGTTTTTCAATTACTGAGTTGCCAGACATAAATTACATACCTGAAATTTAATAAGATATACATGTTTCTTCTAAAGCACACACATAAAACCACAACAAACACATACAAAACAATTTCTCATTGAATGAAAATTAACATCACTACCATAGTTATACTTGAATTTCTACAAGACAGAACTTCTGTAAATAATGAAAAATCTTCTTTTTCTGCTAAGTACAATTCATTAAACCTTTTTTTTTCATGCTTCCCAATTTTATAGCAATTACAAGGGTAGAGAAAATTAGTGATTTCTAAAGTGCTTTAAAGTAAGAACAATTATCTAAGAAAAGTGGCTTTTCATTAATTATTTAAAATTCACACATAATATTATCTTGTTTCAATATTTATGTGTTGTTTTGTTAAACAAAAGACATATATTGAATTTATATTGAGTTATATTCATGAAGTTATATTCATGCATCACATCTTTGTATTAAGAAATGACAAACTGCATTATGTAGGATGGGAAAACTCAACAAATTTCCCTTAATTTCTGCATCTTTCCCATTAAAAAAAATAAAATACCACTTCTAGAAAGTGTTATGTTGCATTCAACCTGACAAAAAGCTATTTCAAGAAACGAGAATAATACAAGTTATTCCTAAACTTTGAAAGATCCATTGCAATGAATTGAACTAGTTCCGTTTCTGATTGCTTGCCAGCAGTATAGCCATCTCCCACAAACTCCTCTATTGATATGGTAGCCTTTGTGGCAGTGCATAAAGAATAACCATCTGTGTCTGGTACAACAGCAGGTGCCATCTTCATTGACTGGCTCCTGCTCTGATTACAATGAGGCTGTTTAGAGCACCTGGTGACTACAACAGGCTTTTTCTTCTCTGTAGAAAAGAAACTAATTTACGAAAGTTTATTGAAGTGAAACTGAGAAACTCACCAGTAATCATCAGCTGACGAGGTACTGGAATGGACTCCAGTGAAGACAAAGTAAGAGATCTAGTGAAGGGAAGCCTCTGGACCACAGGGGCAGATTCCCAATCATGCACACTAGGCTGAAGGTGCCACTGGGACCACTCTGAAGAAGTTCTGAACTCTTGTTTTAAATCAGATGTTAAACTCACATAATCTGTAAAATGTGTCCAATTTGGCATAAATGCAGACATGGGGAAAGAGGTCTGCATTGGAATTGACTGAGTTGGTGAAATGGTATATAATGCAACATTAGAGGTTGCTCCTAAAATGTCAGACATCGAAGCTGTGTATGATGGAGGGTTGTTTTTGAGGTCATTTGAATGTACAGTTACTGGGTGACTTTGTAAGTTTAAGTCAAAATTCAGAGAACTATCACTTGTGAGAAGTTTGAGCTGTTGTTGAGATTCTTTACTCTTTTTCATGCCCAATAAATTATCTTGATTTAGTACCTCAGTGGGACCCATAGTTATACCATATTTTCCTATTTTCAATATTTTAAAAATGCTTCTTGATAGCAATGGATCATCAGTAGTAAGTTTTAAAGTCAAATCAGAATGCATCAGGTCGAAAAAATCAGTTTGTGAAGGGACAATGGATAAACCAGTCTTATCCAAACATAAATCGACATCCAAATTACTTGATAGGGTAATGGCTTCCTCCAAGGATGAGGATAAAATTATTCCTTTTGTATTCTTTTTAGACAGAAATAAAGATGACAATTCTGTGAATGCCACTGGTGGTGTTATTTCAGTAGCAGAAGAAAACGAATGCCCAGAAGTGATAGTTTGAGTTCCCATTAGTGCATACCAGCTGGCTAATATCGCTGAGTTCATCCCAAATGTCTCATAAAAATGGGACTGTTTGCTATGCAAAACTTGATCTGAGAATTTATGAGAGGATTTTATTTCAGTCATAGAACATGTTGCACATGTTTGGCTTAATTCACTTAAGGAATCAGCAGTTTGTGATTTGGTATTTGTGAGTCTCCAGTTGCTAGATGCTTCAGTAATAATCTGATATTCACTGGGATTGGAGGCTTGTGCAGTGAATCTGTGCAGAGTTGATGAGTTTAAGAAGGCTACCTGTTTAGAGATAATTATCTTAGCAGGAGAAATAGGAGACATTGAGGAGCTCAGCAATCTCCAGTACTCTCTTCTTGAAATTAAGGAAACAGCTGAATATTCTTCAGTATCCTCTTGAGCCCCCCTGGAGACTATTGGAGGTATGCTCGTGGAAACTGTGAGAAGGAATCCAGGGGAGAGGAAGGAGTGCCTGTTTAACTGAATATCAGCCCCTGGAATGCCACTAATTACTGAACTCATTGTGGTAGCAGATAAGGCAACAGTCTGATCGTTGTCAAATAATAAAGATTGTGTAGGAAAAATAAAATCTGTCAGTAAGGAACAGATGATAAATGAGGTCCTCTCTCCCCTGTCGAGGAAAAAGAATCCTGGTGTGACAGCTGAAGTTTGCGTAGGCACACGTGGTACTGCTGTTGCTCCTGGGATAATTTGTGTTGGATCACAAACATCAAAATTCAGAAATTGAGAAGAGGAAACATCTGTGGAAGAAGGAAGATCATATTTTGCTGAAAGCTGTCTAGTAGAAATCAGTTCTTCCAATAAATAGTTTTCAAAGGATATACTGATACTTAATACTGATAAATCAGCAGTTGAGAAAATACCATGCTTGAAAATGCCTGTCTCTTTTGAGCCTTCAGAGAAGAAAAAGCCAAATTTAAAAAACAAAGAAAGAAGACAAAATTAGTTAAAAATAAACAACCTTGGTCCTGGGCTGACTCTTCTGCAAATTACACTGTCATCTCACAACAGTTATATGCAGATAAATGTGGATCTGTAAATCATACGCATGTAACACTCTCTGAGAAAGTTAAGGAGTGACTGCACAACTCCTTATTCACACTCCATAAGAGGGCCAAAGTCAGAACAAATGGGGTTAGGTAGAATGGATATATTACAAACGACATGTAAATGACTTCTTGGAGTTGTAAAACACGATAATTTACAACTCTTTGTCATTGGTAGAATCAATGACTTTTAACCGATTAGGTTAGGAATGTTAGAAAATATCATTTTACTTTCTAAATAGGCAACATATTCTGTATATTACATCACATTATATTTTAACTTAATTCTTAAAAGAAAAATTCTTAATTCTTATGTAGACAAAAAATAGAGCAGTCAGCCTTTTTGTTTCTATCAGCCTTCAAAAATATTCTCCTTGCACAATAAATATCTGGTTAAAGGCTATAATTCTCATTCTGATTGTTCTGAATGACACTGAGTATATGAAGAATGGCTGTATAATTTGACATACACTACATTGTTTAAAACATGGCATTATGTGATTTATTAAATTAAATAATAAGACATTAGAACATACTAAATTTCTCAAAATAGTTCATAAGAATTGAAAACAGATTTTTAAAAATCTGAGTATATTTTAATAAATTGATAGGTACAGAAATTTACATATAACATTTAAAGACTGTGAGTAAACGCAATGAAGGAAATAGTACAAAGCCATTTTAAATAAGTTTTACTGATTGTTTAAACAAAAGGAGCTAAAATTGGGGGTCCTGTTATCTACCCTAATTTATATTTCACAATAAAGACTATTAATGAACTTTTTGTACTCTTTTAGGAAGAGTGTTTATTACCAAAGTATATCAATATTCTTAAAGCAAAACTTAAAAAGTAACATATAACCAACAAGAATTCTAAGATGATTTTGAGCTTCTGATATATTATGTATCTTAGAAAAATTAAAATGTCAGAAAATAACTTTCAGTATGCACCTTTTTCAAATACAAACATCTCCATATCTTACTCTCCTGTACTTACACTGATCAAATGAATGGGTCTTCGTTATGGTCCATAGTTTTGTAGTCCATGGAGATGGAAAGCTACTGATTAAAGTCACAGAAGGGGGCATCATATATGTTTGTGTAGAAATGGCATCTGTTCTTTGAGAGGAGGAAGGTAAACAGCTAACTTGCCTTATTTCATCACCACAAAGAAACCCAGTGGAGCAGGCCTGCAAACAATAATCACCTTAATTAAACTCACAGTTTTTCTTCTTTTTTAATTCCTGAGAAATAACTTTTTAAGTTAGTTTTGAAGTCATTTGAATTTTTATAGTCATTAAATAGCTCAATGCAGCACCTTATTTAGTTTGAAAATAAAATTTCTACAGTAAATTTTATGTATATTTCAAAATGAATTCATCCTTTCACATTTTGGTTATGCTCAATTGAGTGGCTAAATTTGTTCTTAATTCCTTTGATTTTAAGTGAACATACTGCTTTATATTTGCCTTGAGGATATTTTTTCCAAAAAAAAATATATGTATGGGAGTCAATCTAAATCTAGTGGCTCTTTTAAAAATTATAAACATTTTTGGCTCTAAATGTCATATTTATTTGGAAGATAATATAAAATTCAGTGTCTACATTGCATAGCTTGAAAACATTTTCTCATGATGTTCAAAGTATTTTAATTCGTATTGTTTCATAAGCAATGTTCCTTATATGTTTTTTAGTTAGATGTGAATAGCCTATATCTGCCATTACTTATAAAATAAGTTCTACATAAAGAAATTGGTTTTAGTTTATAGGAAAGAAAATTGTGATGTGTGCATAAATAAGTACAAATGGATCAGGGTATTCTCCCTAAAATAAAGAGTTAAAAATTAGTTATGCTATTTGAAGTAATTTAAACTTTAAGTAAATACAATTCAAATATATTTTAGAATACAAATACATGCCTATTTCCTAAACACTAAAAATGTATTCAATAGTTATCAGGCTTCACTGTTTTACTATTTGTCCAAGATGGTGTCTAACTTACACAAAACGTAAATTCTGCTTTAGATATTCTTTTCCTTTTTTGTTTAACAGTTAAATATTCTTTAGTCACTTTCAAATCACACCTGAAAGTATTTATGAAGGTCATAGGTTTCTTGATGTTATATAACTGCTTTAAAAATCTAACACATAGAAAATAGTAAAAAATGAAAGTAGAAGTGATAAAAGAAACAGCAAAAAAATATGTCATATGATTCCAAAGTTTAAAAACCAAGAGATTTGTCCCTTTCTCCATTTCAGGGTAAGTAGCAAGCCCTGGAAAGACAACAGATTAATAAAAACACACATGATACTAGGATAGAGACCAAAATGTCAATATACTAGTTTACAATGAAAACATAGCTGTTGGACAGTTCATAAGTGTCTTAATGCCATGGTCAGCATTTCCTACTGAATACAATAGAAGCTATTTCTTAACTACCTTGAGAAATCCCTACCACAAGATTAAGGGATCTTTAAAGGTCCTTGGTCAACAAGTTCTCTTTGTATCAGCACAGCTACACAAAAATCATAGGTTTCTTTGACATGTGTTAGGCCAGAACATGTAAAACTAGATGATTTGAATGCTTACGGACATCAGGCTAAGATATTGCCATTAGAATTGTCTGGAGTGTGTGATGCACACTGATTAAAAGTCTCCTTACACAACTTTGCATTGACACTCCCGACATTTGCCTCCATGATGCTGATGTGTTCTCTAACAGTGTTGATTATTACATCATTGGATATGCTGATTCATTCATTCCTCCAGGTGAAAAGACAAGCAACCAGGAAGCCACACTTTTTCTTTCCTATGTTGCATATCTAGGCTCATCCATAATGAGGTATTCTTAGAGTTTAACTCTCTAAGGTGAATTTATTTTCCTAGTTTTGAACTGCACAAAAAAATATCTTGTCATATTTCCAAGTACTATCAACTCAAATCATATATGTCATTTTGTTGGCAAATATATATGTATATATACAGACCTACATGCATACATATATAGGGGTGGTCAAAGTAGGTTTATATAATACAGATAAATACAATAATTAATAAACAAATAATAATGCAAGAATAAACTGTGTTTCATGTACTCACAACTATAAACTTACTTTTGCCTACCGTTGTGTGTACATATATATACATATGGTGTGGGTAAAAGTAGGTTTACAGTTGTTTGTATTGAAAACATGTAGATTATGATTATTGAAATAGCTTTGTTAACTCAAAAGAATGTCACATACAACTGTAAACCTACTTTTGCTCATCACTCTGTTCGTATGTGTGTGTGTGTGTATACACACATATATATATGTCAACACAACTTATTCTAGACAAATGTCTATATTTTCCCTTAGTTAAATACCCAGCTGCATGTTCAATAATCCCATTTACTTTTCCTTGTGGAGTAAATGTCTCAGTCATTCTTGTGTTTATGTGTGACCATGTGACTTACTTCTAATCAATAAAATGTGAATGATCAAGAAATGTGCCATTTTCTGATTGATCCAAAAGGATCTTCTATGTGTGACCCTGCCATCTCTTCCCCTATGTGGTGACCCACATGTTAAAGACAGGTAAGCCACAGAAGGATGTAGCCCTGGTATCCAAATCTTTATCTGAAAGAGACTAACTGAAATCAGAAGAATTCACTTGGATTTCATGTGAATAAAAAATAAATTACATTAAGCTAGAGGTTAATATAATAAATTAAATAAATTTGGAGGTTGTTGTAGCATGTCGTGTTGTCCTAACTAAAATACCACTCTAGCTTGGTGTTTCTAATAATATTCTTTTTTACTACAAGAAAATTAAATCAAAACAAAAATGATTGGGCATTTCCTTTTTCATAACTGCTTGATTACACTGAAAAAATATAGGCATTTAAAATATTTAGCTTTGCTTTCATTTACTAAACTTTTAATTTTACATATTTCTTTCTTAACTTTGTGGTTACCATAGCTTACTTATTTTACCAATATACCTCCTATTCACTTATTCATGCATCTGTCAAATATGTATTGAGTACTTACCATGAATAACATAATGACTAACTGATATTTATTAAAACTGATTATGTGCCAAGATAATTACAGTAATTTCTATAAAACTTCATAACTTTAAAAATACATACATTTTCTTTCTAAATATATATTTGAGGAAAATAATGCAAGTGAAATCTTTCAAGACAGAGCTGTATGAAAATATGATCATATTTTCTATGGACATTGTGTAGCCCTTTATATCTTCAGTCAACAAATATTTATTAATTTCTAAGTGTGACTATTATTAAGAGCTAAGAGTAAATTAGTCAACAAAATAAGAAAAGTCCTAACATCACATAGCTTTCACCTTATTAAAGGATTCAGAATTTATTCATTAATAACAATGAGCAGTAAGTGGCTTAAAGACATGATTTTGCAAGATAAATAATAAGAAAAAATAGGGAGGGCTGTCTGGGAAGAAGTGGTCAGCAAAATTTTCTGAGATCAGTGATCTACGTTAATCTGAATATCTGAGGACAAAGCATTCAAGGCAAACAAAATGGTACTACAAAGTCCCTGAGGCAAGAACATGCTTTGTATATTTGAGCAACAGCAAATGAGCAGTGTGGATGAAGAGAATAAGGACAGGTCATCAGTTAGCAGTGAGGTCATAGACATGGCCCGGGGCTGATCACATAGGATGATGTGCTTGCTCACTTGTTTTTGGTTGAATTTGGAATGAATTCTGAAAGTGATGGAGAGCCCTTGGAATATTTAATATTTGGAATAGGAAAATGATATGGTTTGATTTATATTATAAAAAGATTACATTAATGCTATGTAGATAATAGACTTTTAAAAAAAGATTTTATTTATTTATTTTTAGAGAGGGAAGGGAAGGAGAGAGAGAGAGAGAGAGAAACATCAATGTGTGGTTGCTGGGGGTTGTGGCCTGCAACCTAGGCATGTGCCCTGACTGGGAATCGAACCCTCGATGCCCGGTTTGCAGCCCGCACTCAGTCCACTGAGCTACGCCAGCCAGGGTGATAATAGACTCTTAAGGAAGTCTGGAGTGGAGGAAAGAATGAAAGACAGGATACTAGTTGGAAGCTAGCAGTTGTCTAGGTAAGAGGCAAAAAAAGATTGGCCTGGTCTGAAAATGGTGAATATAGTGAGTAAGGGTTACTTTTGAGATATTTTTGGAAGGCAGAGCCTATGATACATGCTGATATACCACATGTTTGGAGTGAGAAAAAAAGAAATTTAATAAATAGTTCCTAGGTTTTGTTTCTATCATTGGATAAAGTAGATGTGCTGCTTACTAATTTGAAGAACAGTGGTGAACACTGATTAGGAACTGGAGGAAGATCAAGATTTCTGTTGAAACTCTTTAAATTTGAGAAGCTTACAAGTTATCTGGATATGGGTATAGAATAGAAAATTGAAGATATGAGTCTCTCAAAAGAATTACCCTTAAGTTATTCCAATGAAGTGAAAGTATAAATTAAGTGAAACCAGTGTTATTTCATAGCCCTTTTCTTTAATCTGTCATCATAAAACCAGAAAATGGGAAAGCCAGGATTCACATGTGGGGAATGAGGCTTCACAACCACATTCACAATTGATGTGCTATATTTTTTTCTGGTATATCATTTGCTATAAACAGTTCTCTATAGTTGATTATTTTAGATATGAAAATTAAAACATTCTTCTTTTTAACAGCCTGTTTAAAGAACATACTATCAATTAAATTTAATGACCACTAATAAGGTACTATAATCAGAGCAAAACAGTGTCTATTATTAACAGGAGTTTGCAACCCTGTGGCTTTAGTATTTTTTCATTTAATTGATGGTAATATTTGAAGATGTAGTGTAGTACTGTAACTGAATTTTCTATTTGAAATGATGAGTCTGTGATGTAGTAAAAAAAATTCCCAGTGGTTACAGACAGTTTCATATCAATCTAATTTTGTAGTTTAAACTACTTTCCTCAGAACTGATGTGCCAAATTTACTCTGGATGTCCATCCTTTTGGTGTTTCTGTGTTACACTGGAAGAAGAAGAGTTGTCTTGGGCCTTACACAGTAAGTAAATTTACAATTTTCTGTTAGGCCACACTCATAGCCATCCCGGGCCTCATGCAGCCCATGGGCTGCAGGTTGGACACCCCTGCTTCAAGTTTGCTAAAATAACCTACAGCT